TCTCCTGTTATGCATGCCACAGTCGAACAGTCGTATTGCTTTTCTTAGCCTATGGGGGCGTTGAAGCAGGCCAGACTTCATGATATTTTAGCATCTGCAGTGCAAGGCCACAAATCAACACCATCCTCTCGAGTAGAACAAAATCCGATTCGCACAGAAATGGATATACGTCGATCTGTACGCATATATTGACTACAACAATGACAACAGTTGCCTGATCCCCTTCGTAACGAACCAGCGTCGCCATTGTTAAGTCTTGATTCCAGCGCTCGTCTGTGCCATGTGATTTTTCAACCTCAATCTTCCATTTCTCTCGTTTAGATTATCACCACATATGAGTCGAGGTCTTCCGGTTGTTATCTTGCCGCATCGTCGGTACCGATTCATCACAGTTGAAGAGAATCGGTTATCCGTCAGTCGCGCGGTGTCATTCACCGTTGTCCGACTCGAGTTGCACACACAGGGCTGGAGGCCATTTCTTACTGTGCTTTCCATTTCATTTAGTCTTTGCCAATGATTTTGGCTAATGTCCATAATTGCCAGGAGTCTTTGGACAGTACATCCATTTGCCCTTCCCCATCACATGTCGAATGAGGTTCCAGGTGACCGTTCTGTGAGGCTTGGTCCGCTTAGAATTTTTTGTTCGATGACTTTTGGCGCAGCCACCTTTTTTTCCGGCGGCTTCTTCACCGCATCACGATGAGGTATCTCGTCTTGCCGAGACCGTAGGCTATAAAATGAAATTAAATGCGGTTTTATGGCTTTTGTAGCAAACTGTCATCCTTCGACACCATCGACAAGAATAACTATTTCTTGTCACTTCGCCAAGTTGTGCTGAATAAAGTTCTGTCTGTCAGCACATTCAGCATGAAATTGAAATCGGAATCATATCTTCAGACTTAAAATAACTCTCTCACTCTTTTGTGGTATTCACGAAAGATTTAATATAGGATGTTGCTTAAAGAGAATGGTACCAGAGCATGACGCAAAACGTTGTCGAAGACCTGAACAATAATTTTCGATCACTAATCAAGGTAAGTAACTGTAAACTTTCCACAAGGGTCATTTGTGCTCAGCCCAGCCCTGATGATGCAACAGTGCATGTAATGAAACGCGTTGGCAATAAATCTTTCACCATCTGCTGTGTGTGATGCCCTGAAGCACGAATCATTCAACCAAGTGTGTATATAACTACGGGCCTAGAATCGAAGATCTCAAATATTATTTAAACAAATTATTTGCTTATTGGTTTAAACAGGCTTTGAGAATCAATGTAAGCTTATATCATTACATAACGATCACCGGAATCAAAGTTATGCAAACTAACCACCTATGCAACAGAGAGAAACTTCCAAATAGTCATTCCTGCCCATTTTACAATTGGCTATGACAATGTGAATAAAAACGAACGAATAGGCTATACCTATAGGTGCACGTATATTTCTAAACAGAAATGTACGAAAGACCAGCTGTTCCATGTATATCACAGCGTGTAGCAAAATTGCACATCACAAGTGTAGTTCTGGAGGCTATGCTGCCTGGTACCGTTGGCTAAATGATTGGAAGATTTCATTAATAAGTGAGGGATGCAGGAATGCGTGAATGAATTATAATTTAAACTTGTGCTTTAAGCGGTTGAACAGTCACTCAGTTTTGTTTTCCGATTTCAATGATTTTCAGGAATTAATACGTCAAAATGGCGTTTCGATCGAAGACAATGGTTCGGAGGTTTATCAGACCCCATTTGGAGGTAGTTTGCAAAATTCCTTTGAACGGGCACGTTCCCTAACTGCAGATGGCACCGCGGTGCAGGACTACTGTCCAGTGCACGGATTTACCGTTCGGTCAAAGAACAGCAGGAGGGAACAGCCTGTCAGGTTAGCAGCTGCAACCGTTTCGAATTCGATCATGGTCACAACTCCGATCGTAGCCGAGTCACGAACTCAGCCGGTGACAGAACAGGAGCTTTACCGGCAGCATCAACTGAGGAGGCACCTGTGGAAGACGAACGCCACCGTGGACCAACTGATTCAACGGGCAGACGAGAAGAACGCGATCATGATCAATTTGATCGTGCTCAGCGTTTCGTTCCTGTTCCTGATGTCGGCCTTCGTTGGCCTGCAGAACCTGCAGACCAGCATCAACAACAGCGACCACTTGGGGTCATTTTCGTTGACCTTCATTTACGTTGGATGGATTGCGTCGTGCCTGTTCACGCCTTCCTACCTGCTGAATCGCGTTGGCTGCAAGAAGTGCATTCTAATCTCCATGTGCATGTATTCACTGTACATGCTGGCTCACTTTCGCATCGCGTGGTACATCCTGCTGCCGGCGTCCGTGATGCTAGGCCTCGCCGCCGCTCCGCTGATGGCCGCAAAAATGACCTTCCTTACCGAGTCAGGTATTCGCTACGCCGAACTCAACTGGGAGTCTCCACGCACGGTCATGAACCGGTTCTCTGGCATATTCTTCATGATCGTTCACCTTGGACAGGTTTTCGGTAATCTCATTTCACACTGGATTCTTGGCAGAACGATGACCGTCTCGTCAAGAGTGGATTCGGTCGACTTCACATGTGGACACTTTTACTCCGAGGGATATAACCTCTCCAGCAAAGCGACTGTAAATCTGCTCCCTCCGACGGTGAACATTTTCCGGTCTCTGGCCGGAACTTACTTCTGTTGTACGCTAGTTGCGATAATGATCGTGACACTGTTTCTGAACGAACTCCGAAGCGACCTTCTGAACGCCAAAATTAAGCTTCGCTATAAACTTCAGGTAATTCTACAGTATCTTTATCGTATTACGTGATCATTTGCCTTTCCAGGTATGGAGGACAACGATTCAGCATCTCAACCAACCGAGAGTTCTGTTGCTCATCCCTCTCACCATCTTCAATGGAATGGAACAGGCATTCATTGCAGGAGAATTCACAAAAGTAATTACTCATTTTCTGAACAGAATTATATATATAAGCGAACGTTTTCCCTTGGTCGGAGTAGTATAATATTCTGTTCAGTGATTGTATAAACTGACATTGCTCGTTTCCCCTGAGAAAAATAAGAGTCAAAATGACCCTTATGTAGACAGACAGATTTGCCTCATAGATGTGAAAATATATTTATCATTCTGGGTTATGGTTGCATGGTTATCCAACTACTCTAAGCTTCATAATAACATTCAGGAGTACATTAATAGTTATGGCGGTATTCATTTGTGTCTCGTTCATGAATCCAATGCTATACTTTATATACTGCCTTACATTCATGAGAATAAACTGATAGGGAGGTAGCTACTGCAGAGTCCGTCAGTTTTCAGCTCTTGAAAAGCGTTGCAGAACGCAAAATATGAATGCTGATAATTGCAACATGGCATCTGACCAAAATTTAAACATCTGTTCAAATGGTAGAGCTCATGGTAGTTAAAAATGTATAAAAATGACGATAGGAAGAGTTTCTGGTACTATTTCATTCAACGATAATTAATACCATGTTTCGTGCAGAAGATCGTTGGCATAGTTCACAGAATTGCGTCACATTAAGCGGTCTTATTCCATGAAACAGTGGTGAATCATGATCATTTATCTCTGTTTCCGGGTTTCTTTCTCTGAACCTACCATTTGGCCTACGTCATAGGTCTTCTTCGTAAGTGCAGAGGCGGAACCACACGACGAAAAGAATTCCCCATGCTTTATGAGTCGAATCGGTAAACTCACGCCTCCCAGCATGGTACGGTCGCGGCGATGGTTTGGGCATTATTCGAATGCTTAGCCATAAAACTTGGAACGTTCCTGTTTGTTCAATCGACAGGACGAAGATCCCGGGAAGGGCCAGGAACAGCTAGGGGTAAGTGTCTCGAAAAGCCCTTTTCAGCCGCTTCTACCAGAGATCGAAGTTGTTCTCTTATGGCCACAATTCATTAATGTAGATGACTCTTGGGACGTAGATCGACTCGAAGACAGTGAGCTAAGTCCTCAGAGCCCAGTCTCAGCTCTGCTTTAGCCACGACGGCTGAGGCTAATTCACGCAGAACGCCATTGGTCATTCCAATTCGTCCATCGAACTCATCCTCCCATTTTTTTATCACCAGTGAGCCCGACCATGAGGTACGTAAATTCTCTACCTGCTTCAGTGCTTCTCCGTTTTTCTGCAGAGCGCAATGGACAAGAGAACGAGAAAGCGTTCGATTTTCGTTTTCACAAGCATACCGGCCAAGTCGCACTCAGCCGCGAATCTTTCCAGAGAATGTTGGAGATCAGCTTCCGAAATGGTCAACAATACG